ACTGATATATATATATATATGTATTTATGTACATTTGTATGTATGTCTGTATAGTTTGTGTGTGTATCTATATTTATGTATGTATGTATGTGTGTAGTTTGCGTGTGTTTGTGAGTGCGTCTATGCAAGCGTATGTGTGTTTGTATGTATTTATGTCTGTCTGTTTTGTATGTGCGTGTGTACATATGTAATTATGTGGGTACATAAATATCACTTTCTGTATGTACATCTGTCTTTATGTATTTATGCATGTCTGTGTGTTTCTACGTACGTATGTCTGTGTGTGTGTATGTTTGTATGTCTCTATGATGTATGTATATATGTTTGTGTGTGTGTGTATGTTTGTATGTCCCTGTGATGTATGTATATATGTCTGTGTGTGTGTGTGCGTGTGTGCGCGAGCCTGTATGTATGTCTGTGTGTCTATGTATATGTCAATGTATGTATACGTTTGTATGTGTGTACGTATGTATGTGTGTACATATGTTTGTCTTTATGTATGTATTTATGTCTGTGTTTTTTAATGTATGGATGTCTATTTGTTTATATGGTTGTATATATCTGTGGCATGTGTGTGTGCATGCACATACATACCCATGTATGTGTTTGTGTGTGTGTGTATGTATGTTTGTCTGTCTGTCTGTTTGCATGTATGTATGTATGTATGTATGTATGTTTGTGTGTGTGTGTGTGTGTGTGTGTGTGTCTGTGTCTGTATCTGTGTGTCTGTCTGTCTGTGTTTGTTTCTATTTTTGTGTTTCTATGTATGTTAGTACGTATGTCTGTACATATGTATACATTTGCATGAATGGATATATGGATGTATGGATGTATGTATGGAGGAGCAGAATAAATGGATAATTTGCGAATAATGTAGGTGTACATTTCCGGATTCACATAAGTTAGTGGTCGCACTTCTTCATCCTTAAGTGTAGTGTCATCTCTATCTAGTGTGTATAAGAATTATATAACTCATTCAACTTGTCGATAGCTGGCTATTTCACATTGTCATCATCACTGTGAAATGATTATTGGAACTGGTCTTCTGTTTCTATAATGAATTAATGCTATAAAATAGGATAGTTTTCCAATTATAATGTTTTTTAACAGAAAAATAAATAACTTTTAGCTTAAAGAAATTTAGAACATATAATGACTCATTTCGTAGAATATTATGTGCAATGTATCGGTGCTTCCTTAGTGGATCTAAGCAGTTTCAAGATGGCTTATGATTGATTCCACTGCATGCTCTCCTTTGATCAACTTCTAAGTCATCATACATCACAATATATGCTTGTCTGTTATTTTAGATCTCAATGCATCTTCAGTGATAACCTATCCATTCAATACCACCTTTCTCTTGCAGTTAGTAAGCTAAAAATATGTTTTCATCGGCAGCTAGAATTCATCTGCCATTATGTGACTCTCTAGTAATTGTCACTTCACAGAGCGCTAGCAAATTAATGATATTTGAGTCTTCTGAATATCATCTCTTATGGTCAATAAGTTTGCAACTTATATCATTTCTGGTGGCCATACGAGAACAAAATAACCTTAAAATATTAAAAAAAAAGCAAAGAGAAGAAACACATGCATGTAAGCATAATTAATGATTATGAAAAAAAACATTGCCTGCGTCATCCTATTAAACACATCGTGATGTACTTGTGGTTTGTTCATTGCTAATTAATATGAGATTCATTTCACTTGCATTATAGTACACCTTTCATTTTTTGATGATATAATTAGCAATATACTATCTTACATGACTTGTGAAAGTCATTCATAACTCAAACGCTCTTCTCATTAGTGCTTGTGCGGTATGATACTCGAAGTATGGGTATACCTGTAAGGACCCTCTCTTAACACCAAATTTGTAATAAGTTTAGACATCTAGTTATATTAACCCATGGAGATTAAGTGGATGTCTAGTTTGCCAAAGAAGCAATGCAATTTAAAATGACTTCAATGCAAAAGGTAATGTAGTATATTTGGAATTTTTTTGATTTGTTTAATGCAATATAAAAAAAATGCATGATTTTATAATTTTTTATTTGGTTAACAGTAGAATGAAAATAATTTATTTTAATGTATAAATTACTTGCGGCGGCAGCTGGTGGTGATGATGGTGGAAGTGGCCAATATGTGGAGGGGGGTGACGGTGATGATACCAGGTAGTAGTGCTGGCCATCTAAGGTGGTGGTGGGCGATCGTTGCAATGGTCAGATGTGTTTTCTGGCGGCGATGGATGTTGTAGTGGAGCTTGTGAAGGAGTTTGCTGATCCACTGTAAAACTTCCTATTCCTATTTTTTATTGAGTTTGCTGATCCACTGTAAAACTTCCTATTTTTTATTTACATTTTATGCTCAATTTTTAAGGATATTATGCTTTAATGAAGGGTATTCATATGTTTTTTTCTATATTAGATAGAGAAAAAAAGAGTTTAAGGTAAAAATGAGCAAAAAATACATCAAAAAAGAGCAAAAATGGGCTAAATTGAAGAAAAGTAACAAACAAGCCGAACTGACACCTAAGCGCCAGAAGCATAAATTGGCTAGTGCCTAGACGCTACAGTTGGGCACCTAGGCCCCACAATTATTCTCTAGAAGATTCATTAATCGAGACCGAATTTTGAAGAGATATCTGAAGCAACCCTTTGTGATTTTTGAAGCTCTATAAGTATGGATTAATTCCGAAAGGCTAGGGGGTCGGATCTATAGAGTCTCATAGTGTGTGAGTGTGTTAAGTGCGTGAGAAGCTTTCTTTGTGAGTCTTTGTTATTTCTGAAGTTTGTGAGTCTTTTAAGTGTTGTTGGAGTCAGAGAAGTCAAGGAACTTCAAAGGAGTGCTTGGGGGAACATTCTGAATAACCATTTGTATCTTTGTCCTTAAGTTTTGTACTTTAGATTGGATTTTGATAAATATATTTTGTTTTGTTATCCCTATACTTCGTGAGTAGTTTTCTTTCTTTCTCCTTACAGAATGAGGTAATTAAATGAGTGATTTTGATATTTTTAGAACTTCTTTTATTCCTAAAAATTGTGATGATATTTTTACTGATCATTCATTTGCTTTATAAATTGACCACCTGTATTGTTAAAACCTGTTGAGGAACTTATAGACCCGAAAGGGCTAAGATTTCTTGACTTGTAAGTATCACATTCTACCTTAGAAAAAGCAGTTGCGATCGTCAAAAAGGGGGTGCAAATAAATAGGGAGATAAGATTTGACGGGCGTAGAATTGATGTTTCTAGGGTGGCAGACTAGATTTTTTATCAATTTAGTCTAGAGATTGGAACTAAGGGTCATTGGTAGGTCCTATAGAGAGGACTCAAGGGGTAATCTAGGAGTGAGATACTAGAACCTACCCAACACTACTATACATGCCGACACCAACTTTAGATTAGCCGAGCATAATTCAAAAGAAAGTAAAGAAATATGTATGCTCCTACTTGTTACAATACCACATTTAAGTTTCTAAACAAATTTTGAAATCTTACAGTGATTATGAATTATTAACAAGGATAAAGTCTCTTTTGATAGTTTGCCTAAGTCATTACATTTACTTTTATTTGCACATTGTATAATTTAGTTAACTTAATTTTCATCTTTTGATAGTTATTATAATCTTAAGTTTTCTTAAAATCAAAATTTATGTATTTCATTTTATTGTTTATTTGTTTTCAGCTTCCTCGTGGGATTGATACTAAGGTTTTTTAAAAAAACTCTATAGTACTTAAATGATACATATACTTGCGTAGTGCCCCTAGTGAGAAAACTATTTCTTTAATTTTTATCATATTACATTTGTTCTCACTAACCGCTAAATATCATTTGGGTTAAGTTTTTGGCATATTAATGAACATATATATGTGTAATTGTGGGTCGGGTCAGCCGCCAATGGCAACATGTTTCATAAGGTCGTGTATTTTGAATCCTACCGAATCCATCAAATTTTCAAATATTGTGAAAATAAACAATGAATTCTAAATTCATTCATATTTAATGTTGGACTTGTAATTCATCCGATCAAATTCCCAAAATTTTAAAAATCCTGCAAAAAGTAATGCTACTGATCAACCATTATCTAAGTTAACTTATTCAA